GTGTGTGTGGCGGGGTGGGAGGGGAGTGGGAGGGGAGTGGGAGGGGAGTGGGAGGGGAGTGGGAGGGGAATGGGAGGGGAGTGGGAGGGGAGTGGGAGGGGAGTGGGAGGGGAGTGGGAGGGGAGTGGGAGGGGAGTGGGAGGGGAGTGGGAGGGGAGTGGGAGGGGAGTGGGAGGGGAGTGGGAGGGGAGTGGGAGGGGAGTGGGAGGGGAGTGGGAGGGGAGTGGGAGGGGAGTGGGAGGGGAGTGGGAGGGGAGTGGGAGGGGAGTGGGAGGGGAGTGGGAGGGGAGTGGGAGGGGAGTGGGAGGGGAGTGGGAGGGGAGTGGGAGGGGAGTGGGAGGGGAGTGGGAGGGGAGTGGGAGGGGAGTGGGAGGGGAGTGGGAGGGGAGTGGGAGGGGAGTGGGAGGGGAGTGGGAGGGGAGTGGGAGGGGAGTGGGAGGGGAGTGGGAGGGGAGTGGGAGGGGAGTGGGAGGGGACGGGTATTCACGGCCAGCGCTGAGGGATTTGCGAGGGCATGTGGACCCGTCTTAAACGCGGCAGTGGTGGAATGCGGCTTATAATTGTTTTAATCACCGAGTTGCACACGCCTAATGTGCTTCAGTTGCACACAACAGACGATGTCATGACCCATGGGTCGCGGCAGCTAGTCGGAGCCTCCCACCGCACCTACTTTTCCAAATTGGCCTCCTGGAAGAGCAGCTCGAACTCCAGGGCCACGGATAAAGAGGACAGCGACTGCGCGTGAGAGTGAGGGGGTGGCGAGAGGGGGAAAGACGAACCACGTGAACGAGTGAAGCTGCTGCCAAGGAAACAGTGCACAAGAAGCAGAACTGACCAGGGTGGGGAAGTAGGGAGGTAAGACGAACCACTCGCGTAAGGGGGGATATGAAAGGGCAAAAAGGTGAGGGGAGTAAAACGGAAAAGCGAAGTGCTCAATCGCGTGATGCGATCAAAAGTGTGTGGCCATGACTCCGGACCAACTAAGGAAACATCGACTAGCTCGGGACGCGAGCTTGCGAACCCGCACCAAGGGCTTAGCCAAGTATGTGATCGTGGAGTGATCATGCAAGGAAGAGTATGTCGGTATGTATGTTTGCGTAGTGAAGGGGGACAGCAGGGAGGACGTACAAGTCTACGCTACGTTACTCTACACACGCACCACTTCTGCCAAAAAGGCACACACACACATACATACACATACACACATACAACTGCCGCTGGTTTCGGAGCAGGACGGAAAGGGCCCCTCACCGCTGGAAAAGTATTTCCCCTACGACCCCGACCCCGACCTGACCTCGACCTGATCCGGGCCCCCCCCCTCCGAGACCGACTCAAAACACACCCCGACCTCCACCGCCCGGATATCCCGATAGGAAGTTGCTTTCCTTCTGGTGTGTTTCCTCAGCCATTCCTCTACCAATCCTTTCCTGTCTCCCCCCCCAGTTCTACGTCTGGTACACTCTTTTGCCCTGGCAGCACCTTCACTCGTTCACGTGGTTCGTCTTTCCCCCCCCCCCAACCCCAACCCCTCCTTTCCCCCCCTCCGACAGTACCAGATGTCCGTCTCACAACCCCAACACCTGGACAAACCGACATACTTACACACATACCGACGTACATACCTGCAGATTGGCCACAAAGATGCGACAGAGCACCGCCGTCTGCAGCTTCACCTCCTCGTAGCAGTACCGGATGCGGAACACGCGGGAGCGGAAGCAGCACCCGGAGTCCTCAACCACCCAGCCCTGACGGCGGGACGCAGCCGGCGCGGCTGCTGCTGTTGCCGCCGTCGCCGCCGCCGCCGCCGGGACCGGTGTCGCCATCGACGCGCCGCCGCCCGTGGTGTCGGGAACTGACGGGTGGGGGGGGGGGGCCAAGAGGTGGCGCAGCGTGAGGGCCATGAGGAAAACGCAATATTTGTTTTGGGGGTGTTCCCCGGGCGCCTAGTGGAGGGACCACGTGTTTGCCTGCTCAGCCCCCGGCCTCTCCCCCGACACCCCCGTGGCTCCAGGCCCCGTCTACTGCCTCCCCAAGGCCCCTTAGCTGCCGCAACCCCTTTGCCGGGCTGGCTCGTCCGTTCCGCCCGGCCCGGGGCCGCCTGGGGGAGGGTGTTGCCGCATCCGCCACAACCTCCTCCTCCGCCGTCGGCTTCGTGCCTTTGCCTGGCTCCCGCGCATTGCTTCCGCTGCTGCTGCTGCGGCTGATGATGATGATCATGGTGGTGGTGGTGGTGATGGTGATGATGGTGGTGATGTTGATGTTGATGATCATGGTGATGATGATGATGATGATGATATGGGACGATAGTGCCTTCCCTTGCTGCTACTCCCTTCCCACACGAACAGCGTACGATGTACAACAAAGTACGACTGGTTTTGTACGATACTTTCCTCCCCCTCCCGCACGCTCGTGTGGGCACTCACCATAGCTTCCAGACGACCGGCGGCCACCCGCACCAGGCCCGCCGGTGCCGTTGACACCGAGCCCGCTCCCGCTGCCGCTGCCGCCGCGGCCGCCGCCAGCTGCTGCTGCTGCTGCGGCGGCGGCGGCAGCGCTATCCAGGACGGATTGGAGCAGCGGTGCTGCAGCCGCCGCCGCCGGGCCCATGCTTGCTGAACGCACCTCCTGATGGCTCTGCAACACCACGTGCGCCTTACACACGGCATCCGGCCCCGGAACCACCCGTACTCGTACGGCGTACCAGCCCTGGCTATGAAGCTCCACATTGACGAATTTATACAGCGCCACACACAAGTCCAGTACGGCCACCAAACCAGCACGGGAGAGAGCTTGCTGCACTTCACTGATGGCCACGGAGGCCGCGCCGGTGTTGCGGCCGCTGGGGCCGGCCGCACTGCTGCCTCCGGCGACAGCGGCGGCTGTCGCCGTTGGTGGCGCTTTGGGTGGCCTAGCGGCTCCTCCGGCAGCGGCGGCAGCAACGGGGTTGGACCTGGCTGCTGCTGCGGCGGCGGCGTTTTGCGTCCCGGGTGGGTTGCTTCCGCTGCTGCGGGCTGCTGCTGGTGCTGCTGGTGCTGCTGGTGCTGCTGGTGCTGGCGCTGCTCTGCTGTTAGGTGACGGAGCTCCGTCACTCCCACCGCCGCCATGGCGGCTGCTCATTACAGCTTACGGTGGTGCCCTGCGGATCCTGTTCGTTGAATAAGATATTATGGGGAAAGGTTAGGGTGGTTGATAGGTTAAGGCTGCCTCTGAAGTGGGGAGCGTTAGGGCTGTTGATGCGGTGGTTATGGAGCTCTGCTTATGGATATATACGGAGGAAATCGATTTGGGTCAGAAGCATAAGGCTATGGAAGGGTGTGAGCGGGGACTTGGGGGGGAAGTGTGAGGAGCGTCCGGGGTGGCGAGCGGCGAGGGACACCCGACCGATGGGAGCCGGAGGGGAATGGGGCGGCTTTTGTAAAATCCAGCACGTTCACGTGTACGATGATGTGGGGTTGTGGTGAGTTACTGTCCAAGGTACGGATCCATGGCATTGTTAGACGGACCCTCGACCAGCATGAACGTTTCTGTTAGGCAAGTCGGTTGTACCGGTTATCTTATGAAATTCATCTTGCGTTGAGAATCTAGGTTTCTGCCTCGTTCCGGTGTCATGCCAATAGTTTGGTGCACCAGCATGAAAGGCAAAGTCCCTTGTGTCACGTTCGTTAACAGCCAGATGCACTATCTAAATAATCGGATATTAGCTTCACAAAAACCCCTTCCCGCACATGGAGCCCATAATCGCGGACCGTGGGAATGCACTCACCTTCGTCTGCACCTAAGCTCAAGCTAATCCTTCGCACATAGTTATACTCTGATTTCTAAGATAAAAGAAGTTCCAGGGTATAGGAGTTACGACCGGTAACGGGGCTTTCGCAAGTTCACAATGTCGTGAGCGAAGGAAGGACCGTTCGGTCTTTTGCATAAAATCCTGCTTTTACAGAGTACATTACCCATTTCAACCCTATACGCCTCCATAGACCTTCACGGAGTCAAGCGTACCCAGGTACGGTCTGAGTCACGGCAATACGGCTTACCGTTTCCTTGACTCGCACCCTGCCAGAGCCGGTTTGGAATGTGTCCAAGGATATGCACTTTTCATATGGCATCAGACCGAATGTTTTATTGCAGGGCAAGTAGGTGTACGGTACCTTCGCGTTGGCAGCCGGCCCTTATGTAGCCTTCGGTGCGGGCGTTATTGAACTCGGGAGGCATGTCTGTGTTCGGTGAAATCTATTCTAAGGCATTAATTTTATTGCTCTGCATGCTCGCTGGGACTATGAGCGTGTCGAGCAGCGCAAAAATGCAATGTTTTCCTGATGGTATCTGGAGTGAAGCGCTACATAGCTGTATGTACCAGGGCGTGACAACGACTAGCACTACCGTAATTACCCTGTGGCAAAAGGGAGTCATCCCTGGCAATCTATCCGACCTTATAAAGGTGCGAGTCGGATGATCGAGCCCATGCCTACACCAATCATTGTAGGCAGCAATGGCCGGAGACTCAATCCTGTTCCCAATCACCCCCTCGCCTAGGTCTGGCCCCAGTCCTCCCTCTACCTCCCCCCTCTTCCCCCTCCCCCGTCCCCCCACTCACAGTACTTTGTACGTCGGCAGTTGACGCCTTGCTTTTCGCCCATCGCATACCGCCCCCCCCACTTCCGTCTACCTCTGGTATCTACTTCAATCGTCAGTGGTTTGTCTTACTCCACGCTTCCCCACGCATCTAATCCCTGGCTTCCAAGGTTCACGTCCGCATCGCTTCCAACGTGGAGGCCGCCGTGTCCACACAATTGCAACTGATCACATCAGGGGCCAACGTCATTTTCGTACATCCTTCTGTCGTACGGGACGGGTCTGCAGGCACCACCGAGCTGTCGTACGCCTTCCAGCTAACCTTTCCTCAACAGCCCATCGATCTTATAAGGAGCATTGCCTCCAGCGACCTGAGGCTGCTGATTGAGGTGCATGCATGTCGCGTGGGCCGTATGTGTGTGTGTGTATGTACATTTGTGATGGCTTTGTGACCTCCCTCCTCCCCGTTTCCCACTTGATGGCTTTGTGACCTCCCTCCTCCCCGTTTCCCACTTGATGGCTTTGTGACCTCCCTCCTCCCCGTTTCCCACTTGATGGCTTTGTGACCTCCCTCCTCCCCGTTTCCCACTTTCCACCACCACCACCCCGCTCTGCTCCCCGCCCTCATGCTCCTTCCCGCCCTCCTCGCTTCCGATTCGTTGCATTCGCATCATGCCATCCCCTCTCCAATCCCTAACCCCCCCTCGATCCCTAACCCTCCCCATCTGCTCGATAATCCTTCCTCTGCCTCCCTGCCTTCACCCCTCTCAAGACCGATGACGTCACCGCTAAGGACGTCAACAGTTTAGGCGTCCTTTGAACTTCGAGGAATACTTCCCCCGGCGGAATATCCCCCTTGAGTTTCTCGCATTTAAGTCCCCCTCCCCTTACCCGAGTCTATTTCTCCATCCCTCCATCCACACCCATCTCCCCCCGCCCCCCATACCATAGTTCTACTCCTGGTACACTCTTGCCCCGGCAGCAGCTTCACTCGTTCACGTGGTTCGTCCTTCCCCCCCGTACCCCCCCCCCCCGTACCTTCACAGCCCCAGAACCCTCTGTGGGCCTTTTACGTGCGCTACACGGTTCTGTTCCACATGAGCCCCAGAGACACTCAGTTGGATCGTTCGGACGCGATCGCGTTAGCAGGCGGCGTCGGAAGCTGCTGCAACACGACGGCGCGGCAGTGGCCTTACGGGCGAGTGGTCAACACGTGCAACAGGTGCTGCTGCTGCTGCAGGGAAAGGGAATTGCTGGATTGCGGGAGGGGGGGGAGAGGGGGGGAAAAGAAGGGGGGAGGGAGAGAACGTTTCTTAAAGTGCAAAAAGGATAAATCGTCCTATCAACCCGAGCAACTAGAGAAACCAGAGCAACTCGTCGGTCCGGAAGCTTGCCCTGAAAAAATCTAAGCTATCTACGTGGGAACATGCGTGTGTGTGTATGTGTATCTATGTGTGTGTGTCTCTTGTGTTTGGCGATCGTACCTTCTCGGCACTTGAAGTCAAGGGGCACTGTGTAGCTGGAGCATGTCCGTCTCCAACGACAAGTTCGTTCAAACCACCCGACAACCGAATATTACCAGAACTCGGTATGCACCGGACACCACCATCATCGCCTCCATTTCATCACCACCATCACCGCAAACCCTGACCTCCTCCCCCTGATCTCCTCCCCCCTCCCCGCTACAAAATAATGAAAACGTCAGTCTCGCTGGGCTCTCGAACTTCTGCCGCAACTGGCCCCCTCCCTCCTCCTCCCTCCTGCCTGCAGCATGCCGGTTTCTGAGCGGGGCGAAATCCGAAACCCACTTACACATCGTATCCGTGCTATTTCCTCCTAACCCTTCCCGGCAGCAACCTCAGGGTGCATGGGGCATTCGCGCCTCCGCCCGCGGTCGTAGCCCCCTCCCCCCGTCGTCCCCCTGTCCCCCTTTCGTTCCCCCAACTCGCCACTCTTAACCTCCTGGACGTTCTTCCGCTCCTCCCCGCCCTGCTGTTATCCTCCCCCTCGCACCCCGTGGTGGCGGCTCCTTCTACGGAACGCGGCGGACGGTGATGCTGATGGTGGTGCTGCTGATGGTGGTGCTGCTGATGCTGACGGTGGTGGTGGTGGTGGTGGTGGTTATGCTGGTGGTGGCGGTGCTGCTGATGGTGGTGCTGCTGACAGTGGTGGTGCTGCTGTTGGTAGCCGCAGGCTTGCTCCCCCCGGGGACCCGAGCACCTTCATCACCGGCTTCTGCAATCGACCCGAGGTTCTCTGCTCCCCCTCCGGCCGTCTCCTCAAGCTGGTACTGGAGGATCCCCTGCTCAACTGCTCTGCCGGCCTCAACCTCCGCTTCGAGGGGGACATGGGCGGGCGTCTGGCATCCCTGGCAAATCTCGGATCTCTGGCCTGGCTGGATCTGTCGTACACGAATCTTGGATCCCCGCGACTGATGCGGCCTGGCGGTCTGGCGGCCGTGCTGGCGCAGCCGCAGCTGATGTGGGTCATGCTGCCCGGGGTGCGCCTGACGGGACCGCTGGCGGCAATAACAACAACAACAACAACAACAACAACTGCAGCGGGTGGTGGTGGTGGTGGTGGTGGTGGTGGTAGAACGGCGTGCGATGTGCTGGCGCCGGCAGGTCGACGGGTGCTGGTGCTGTCTGATAACCAGCTAACGGGCGAAGTACCGGACTGTTTGGCGACCCACGGGTCACTGGAGGAGCTGCGATTGGACGGGAACAACCTCGCACGTAGGTGTGCTCGGGGATATGTTCATCTGCGTGGATGAGGGGATGAGCTATCATCGTGGTTTTATACCCTGGACAGTTAGGAATAGTTGAAAGAGTCAGGATTGCAGACGTAGACATGGTGTGTTCGGGGTGTGGGTGTGTGGGTGTGTGTGCGTGTGTATGTGTGTGTGTGTGTATGTGTGTGGGTGTTTAAGGGAAATGGCTTGGGGGAACTTGAGCGCTTTTTGAGTTTGGGGCTGTTGCTGGCTTGGGGTGGGTGGAGAAGACAAACCAGGAACTGGGTGAAGCTGGGCGGGTGGGGCATGTGTTGCTTGAGAGGGGAATGTGTATTACACGGAGTCTGGCCGCGCGGGGGAGGCTGCCGAAGAGCAGTTAGCCCTGCTGGCCTAACGTTGGTTGCGTGCGTGGGGGGTCTGTGTTGGGTTTGCGGGGGGGAAGAGAGGGAAGAGATGAAGGTTGGGGAAATGCCGCGGTCCAACTTCACCCCTTCCCTCCCCATACACCCGCACAAACGTACCGTACGGTCAATATCTCTCCTCTGTCCGTACTGTCCGTACGGTCAATTCTATACAAGGTCGGTACAGGTGCTGTTGCTGCCGGATGGTGATGTGTTTTCGCTACCTTTGGCAAGAGCCCCGTGTCCGGCTCAAACATGCACTTAACTGACCTGATACATTACTGTACATTCTCTCACCCACCCACCCACATCTCCCTCATCTTCTTTTTCGCCCCTCCCTCGTTCGGAGAAAGCGCAGGTCTGCCATCCGACTGGTCGGCCGCCGGCACCCTCCTGGACTTGGACATCTCTTCCAACCCCTCCCTGGAGGGCCCTCTGGTGCGGCTGCCGCCCTCCCTGGCGCGACTGAACGCCTCCTGGACCGCGCTGGGGGGCCCCCTGCCCGCACCCCTACCCGCGTCCTTACTCGCGCTCGACCTGAAGTCGGCTCAACTGAGCGGCCCGCTGGATGATCCTGCCGTGTGGGCACGACACCTGCAGCCGCCACCACCAACACCGCCGTCACCGCCACTGCCGCCATCTCCAGCTGGATGGCTAGCGGGGAATGGCAGGAGCAGCAGCAGCAACAGCAGCAGCAACAGCAGCAGCAACGGCAGCAGTAGCGGTTGGGGATCCTGTTGTGGGGCTAGGAGGAGGAAGGGTTGGAGATGGCTT